CTTAGCCCCGTCTACACTGCTCATGTTTCTCTGTAGCAAGTCCTGGAGACCATTTCATAATTTCACGTGGAAGAAAAGGTGGCTGTTTGAGGCTCTTCGAAGATTTTTTCGCCTGGATGAATGGTTCGCCAATTATAACAAGGCACTCATGGTGCTGTCCCTTGAAGCTGTCAACGAAGTCAAGACGGGGACGTCGTTTTACCATGAGACACTTCAGGATCCGTACATAATAGACCATCTGCGAAAAGTTGGGAAATATCTGATCAGCATTGGTAAGTCGGTATTCCTAGTGGCCTTGTCAAAGGTACTCTATTGTGCAATCGGTTCTAACGTCGGTCACAGGTATAAAAGATGACGGCACTATCCCATCCATTACTGTATCACGGGAGAATGACGCGCTTTCGGCCAAGCTCCATGCGCTCCACCAACATATGCAACTCAAGAATAAATGTCCAGTGGGCCTTCTAGTAAGCCGTACAGACTACTGCACAGAGAGATGGTCTGAAATCATACACATTCTAGGCAAATATGCGCAAGATGCAGAGAGAGGTGGGATTCCCGTGTATCGGAAACGACGACTGGGAGAAGATCGACGCAAACCACCTATCTCTTTTCAAAAAAATCACGTAAAGCAACTGGTCGGGAAGTCCTTAAATATTATGTATTATGATCGTGCATACGGTTACTCAAATGTGACTTATTTGAACATTGAGAGATTGCAGCGAGTGTAAACGAATATCATGGTGAAAGGCGGGACACTATTACGCGTATGCTCTTGATACAGCGTGGTCTCCAGACCGTCAATCACACGGCGGCGAGAACGCGACCGCAATGTTAGTTGTGACGCGCTCGACCCCTCACCACCATGTCCTCCATCCGCATGTTTCCTCTACGACAGATATGCACTCGGCGCATCCCTACACACTGTCTGCTACTACGTACATGCAAGTATGAAAGCGCGAGAACATTCACGACTACATATGCCTGCGCCGAAGGCAATTCACCCTTCTCGGATTCGGCTATGAAAGCTCTGAGAGACAGCAAGCTTGGACAGGCGATTTTTAGCAATCCAGAGCTCCAACAAGTGGTCATGGAGATGTGGCAGGTATCAAAGGAGGAAGGTACGCTTCACTCTGCGTTTTTCGTGAAGGATGGTTGTTGCTTCACAGAGGTACAGGTATCGACCCACTCAAACCGTCCGTCACGGCGTTGCTCAGGAGCTCAAGGCTACGGGAGCAAATGAAGAAGCTTTCCGTCGTCATGCAGTCGAGTGGTCTTAGTCCAGCAGATCTCAAGGTACGAAACGGTGGCTCAAACACGTCGCTTTACTCATGAGCCGTTGCGCTCCTCCTGTAGGAAGCCCTGGATGCAATTAAGACCCACCAAGATCCTGCCAAGAAGGATTAGTTTGATATTTATCCTTACTACGGCCTTACGGTGCCTTTGAGATGTCTGTGTCTTCATGTGCGTATGTTCTCGGCGAATGACATGTTTCTCCGGAGGGTTTCCTTTTATGATATGGACATGATCTCTCTGGCGCGTCTCAGACGCGTTCTCTCATGAACCACCTCGAGCTTCGAAATGAACAGCGGCTCAGCAGGCCCGTCGACTGTCAGAGATCCTGAACTCTCCGAAGACCATGTTCCTCCACCCACGGGCCCTTCGACTGCCCCATTGAACCCGTTGCCTTCAACGCACTTCTACTCGGTAGAATATCCTGGATATGTCAAGGCCTCGTCCGTGCCACTTGCCATAGAGCGTCTTGGTGGGCAGCACAGTGTGGAAACAGCATTCAAACGGACGGGGAGCAAAAGTGGATCTCTCATAGAGATGAATATGAGTCCAGGGAACCCGTTCTCGCACCCTATTCCAGGCGACATTGTATCGACGAACAATATTCTTCTCAAAGTTACAAGACGGAAAAGAAAGGTACATGCTACAGGAGAACCGCGGCAGCATATAGGGGAGTACACAGTGCAAACGATGGGTTCAATCCCAAAGACTGTGCGCTTCAGAAGTACGTTACCGATGTTACTATTTTAACCCATGCCACTTAATTAGAATTTCAGGTATGGCAGATTATCAATACCAACCTGATGCGGAAGACCCAGTGGCTAAACTTCGCTTAGCTATGGGCAGTATGGACGGTGCGCCTTCCACGGTATAGTACAATCCCTATCTCAACAAATTCACAGTGGAGAGTATTCTGGCCTACCGCATACCTGAAGAGAAGGAAGATTACATACTCGTAGAAGAGTCTTTGGCTATGGATATCGATATAGACCCCGAGCTGACTTGTCTTGAATCTGAGTCTTCTCATGGGCCCAAGGTGAAGAGTAATTTAAAACTTCCGCCACCCCCGTTGTTCAGCAGACAGGCTGTTCCTCATATATACAAGTACGTGCCGTCACCAAGAATTAATCTTCCATAACTTAAATCATGCGTAGCTACAAGGCTAATACAGCTTCGGTTGTCTCCACTACTGTGGACGAGGAGACCGGCGAGGAGAAGAAACGACTGATCAATCGTATGAGATGGAAGGGCTTAGGTCCTACCGCTATCAATTTCTCGGACAAGGGGGTAAGTTGCCCTACCGTTGTACGCTTCGTCTTATTGATCAGCGCTAGGTACCCGATAAACCGTCCACCCATATCGAGCGGTATCGCGGAGAAGCTGATCAAAAGCTCCTCAAGCGGTTGGGAGAGGTGAACCCAACCATTTGAGCGCATATATGCTGAGCATTAACGATGTGTCGTGAGCTCAGCTCTTCCAAGAACGTCCTGTCTGGACTCGTACCGCAATTTTCAATCAGTTCGACGCGCACGAAGTGCGCGAAATCATCAAGTGAGTGATTCGGGCTTATAAAACGGTGTACCAATTGAAATCTATTTGTTTCTACAGCTCTAAATATCTGCTGCCGCTAGTCAGCTATGTGTTCACCGACGGCCCATGGCGAGATACACAACTGAGGCTGGGATACGATCCACGAGCGGACCCAGAGGCACGCTTGTATGTGAATCGCTGTCCCCCGTGCGCGGCCCCTGATACCCCACGGCATAGCTATCAGCGATTATACTTCAGAAATACGAATCATACTGTCAAACGACCTTCCGTCATTACAAGACGGCAAGAGCTACGCACGGATGCATTGCAAGCTCGAACGGATAGCTTGGATGATAAAAGGTGGCAGACTTCCATCGCTGTCGTCGCATAGCTAATTTACCTGCTACGCAGATCGCACATATTCGATGGAGAGACTCTCACTTCGGACACGGCTGCGTTCCAGCTATGTGATCTACAGGATCCCATGCTTAAGGACATGGTGGAAGACGACGAAGACTTACGGGAAGAATGTGATGTAAGCCTTCGCAGGACTGACTTTCGACTGCACGTTCACTAAGCTGTCCCGTAGGAACGCACAGGCTGGTATTCGGCACGATCCTTTGAACGTATCAAGACTGTACTGAGACATAAGTTCTTCCTACTCAACGACTTCGGAGAAGTGGTGACTCGAGAAGAATGCGAAGAGTTGCTGGAACGTCAAGAGAATGGAGGAAACCCCATGAACAAGACACTGCGCTCCTTACGATCAAACAAACATAATATGGCGAAGGGTGCACTGAGACCGGAAGATGCTATCGTACGGCATTTTATATCATATGGGGATGTTTCTGACCGGGTGACTGTAGGCCAAGCGATTGAAAGCGACGATAGACCAAAGGACGCGGGGGGCGGTGGATCGATGATCTTCCATAGCATAGTACAGCTTGAAGCCGAGGCTCGAGGGTCGCATTGCTATAATGCTCTAGAAACGGTCGCGTCAAAAGTATTTTGCATGTGTTTTGGCATTTTATACGTATTGAGCCGTAGGCATATCATGAAAGCGCATAGTGATACATGGCTGGCGCAAGGTGAACGTGCTGAGAACAATCGAACTCGTGGTGTTTGCACGACCGCTGCCTCCCTCTCGACTGCGTGATGATGTTCCCCACAGAAAGACAAGTGGACCAGAGCGACGTCCCGACGCCAAGCTATGACGACTCCTTCAGATCCTTGCGGGCCTTTTGCTGTAAACGTACTCTGCGTGAGCCTAAGCACTGATACGAGATCCCACATATGACGCACCGATCCAACGAGCGCAAAGCGAGCGTTGCGGCGGAACTATACCTCAGACTAAGTTTCCCATTCCATCACTACTACAATTCATGCGAATGAGCGTACCTTAGGATCAACCTATAAAGTCATGTTTTCAGCATTGCTAGATTCCCATTATACAATAGAAACAGCCTAGACGTACACCCCTCAAAGACAGAGTCCTGTGGCTCTGAGGCTTCTTGATGCCATTGCGGTGAGCCTTCTTGTTCTGGTTGTGGTTTGTGTGGCTACGTGAGCGCAGTCAGCATGTCGCGTTCTCTGTCGGTATGCGCGAACGCAGATCACGCACTTCTTAGACTTGGCCATGGCGACGTCGAGAGGGGTCTTGAGGGCGTTGAGCTCGCTACTTACCGGCTGTACCTCTCGCTAGTTCGGCGCTTATCCGCGCATTTGGTGGCTGAGGAACTGTGCAGTCTCTCTCTCGGAAGTTTCCGTAAGAACGCCAAGCGCCCGATCTGTGAGCCTACACGGCTGAACACGTGCTGAAGGGCTTTGAGCAATGGATACAAAGCTGTGCGCCGCTCTGGGAGTATTATATATTCGAATCGCGGCTCAGCAAGTCTCAAGAACATAAAGACCAAAAAGGTGAAAATATCCTACATGGCCTCGATCGGTATCATAGGGGGCATGACTTACGGGCTTTCGTACTTCGATCGGAATATTAACAGTACAAGCTGAAAATAGGACATGTGATAGCTGACGATGTTCTGGTAGTCGACTAATACACAGAGCAACATTCACTGATCGCGGTAGCGAGTGCTTCCAAACGCCACAAAGTCACCACATGCTTTTTGAGGTAATAATCCATAAACAACCATTATTATTATAGTATTTCGCCCGAATGAGGCGCTATAGTGTAGTGGTTATCACTTGGGATTCTGATTGTAAGTTCCCAAAACCCAGGTTCGAGCCCTGGTAGCGCCTGTATGCTTCAAGGCTAGTAATTTTTACTCGATCCATGGTGTTCTCGGGATGGCAGCCAGATGCGGTGTATTGAAATTTGGAAACGAATTTTAGCGACCGCAGGACATGCAGGGCGACAGGTCATATATAATTATTGCGAATGATTTTCTGTAGCTAACAATACAGTCCCCGTTTGTGCATCAGTCGTGTTGCCGTGATGTAGACGGTAAGAGAGTATGGATCTCGAGAAAACAAAAGGCCTAAGCCAAACTCTCGCCAAGGATCTCCTGGATGAACTTCGAGCATAGGTTCCAGAAATTGTTTCCAAGTTCACCGCTCTTCGCCTGGTCTGTCTCGGTATGAGGCTTCCCGTAGGGCTCTGAGTAATAGTTTCCCTAAACAGCCATGGTCAGTTAATAGGATACCGTCTAGTGCGAAAGTACCTACTTGGTAGTCCCTCCAGTTTCCCTCAAAGATATCCGTGCTCGTTGCGGCCCACAGACCGGCCTCGGCGCCCTCGGGCGCGGTCTTTGCCAACAACCTGCTACCTGCCTCGAGAATTTTCCCAAAAACACCGTACGACTCGGTCCAAGCGCTCTGTGCATCTGTGTCAACCGTTCCGGGATGTACAGATATCGCCAGAATTGGCTTGACAGTATCAGCGAGATGACGTTTAGCGATCTCGCGTGCGAACAGTATGTTTCCTAGCTTAGTACGACCATAGCTGTAGTATCATCCGAAGTAAATATTGAGAGGATTAAGGCCGAGCAGCAGGTAGACCTACAGCTGAGTGCCATCGTATTCTTTGTTGATTTCTTCCTTGGTAAGGAACTTGGTGTCGCCGGGTGCGGCGCGGTGCAGCTCGGAAGACTGCATGACGATGCGAACGGTGGTCGGTGGAGCAGTCTGCGCAGTTTTCTTCATAATAGGCAGCAAACGCATGATAAGCACGTGGTGACTAAGATTGTTAACCTACGAAGCAATTGAGTTGATGAAGAGCCGCATACATAAAGACACGAAACATACCTCGAAGTGCCTCTCGAGGCCATCTGACGTCAAGCCGTGCGGCGCCTGGGCGATACCAGCATTGGCGATGAACATGTCCAGACGCTCGAGCTCTCCAGCCAGCTTCTTCGCGACCGCGTCGACAGCTTTCAAGTCGCCGAGGTCGACACCATGCCAAGTGACGGAACCATAGGAATTGAGGCCTTTGAGCTCCTGGTTGATCTCCGCCTCGGTAGTTTTGCCCTTCTCCTCATTCGCGGAGAGAATGACAACAGTAGCACCTGCTCGGGCCAGGGGAAGCGCAGTGTAGTATCCTATTCCCCCGGAGCCACCTGTAACGATGGCGACGCGTCCAGCGAGATCTGGGATTTGATTGAAACGGAACCGTCCGCTGAGGAGGGTGGCAGGCTTCATAGTATCTGGGAGCATCGAAGACATTGCGACTGCGGTAATGGTGGTGGTGGTGGTGGTAGTAGAAGAGAGATGAAGTCGCCACGTCGTAGGCGGTACGTGGATTATATAGTTCGTTGAATGATCTATGCCAATGGAGTCGACGACGGTGATGACGTCGATGACTATTGTGGCGTCGAAGCAAAGTCGAAGCATGCGCGACCTAGACGCCGAAGACGAACTCCATTGGAACAGCATCACATAGTGAAATTATAAATTTGTTCGAGAATAAGATACAGAGTTGGTACATACGGTCAAGAGAGTAGGCATTGATAGGTCCGAGCTCTAGACAATGAGATGATACTGCTTCCTTTCCTCTAGCGAAAGGGTCGAAAAATGCCTTAAACGGAGACGTAGCCTGTAACGAGTATTCTCGCAACACTGACGCGAGCCTGGAGCGAATCAAGGGTCAGATATCAGGTCTTTTCAGAGAGCCCACATAGGCACGTACGACAGAAATCGTCTTCACGAACTAACAAGCGAACCGTCGTCATCTTCGCAAGCTGAAGTACCTCCCGCTCTTCCACGAAGCAGCAATTCAAAATACCAATTTCAGAAATCGGCTCTACCGTCACATCTCCTTTCACAAACATATCATTGCTGTCGCCCACTGCGGTTCGGTAGCGGACGAGGTCAACCAGCGCCCCGCCCGTGAGATGACTGCACCAACGCAGGTCAAGTCGAGTAAGCTTTGGACACATGGCATCACGTCCCGCGAGGAGTTTAAGAGTAGCATCAGAGATGGAGCTCTCGTGCAGGCGTAACGTGCGTAGGTTAGGGAGAGCCGAGAAGCAGAGTGCAAAGGCGCGCGGCGAGAGGTCGACGTCGTGCAGTTCTAGCACCTCTAGAGACGGCTGGCTCTTTGTCAGGAAGCGCAGGAGGCTGGGTCCAATGTGCTCCTGACGGTAGCTGACGTCCTCGAGAGAGCGAAGGTGTAGCTCGCGAAGGTTTCGGGCACGGATGTGCATGAGCAGATCGTTCAAATCAGTCGGTCCGTAAATAGCCAAGGACGTCAGGCAAGAAAGGTCAACGGTCCGCTCGGAGTCCTCGTTGACCAGTTGAGCTTCGTACACCAGGGGTAATTGGATGATGAGACGTTCAATCTCTGGAACACCCTCGAGTAACTCCACCAACGCCAAATTGGAGAGGGGATGATTAGTTGGACTCTCTTGTACTGTGATAGATAGGGTGGTGATGTGTGGGGGTAGCCTGAGGCTATGCGGTAGGACGTTGCAGCTAAAGCGGACTTCGGACAGGTTGGGGGCCAACTGCTGAGAGAAGACCTCTGACAGAGTGAAACCGTCCTCCCTGTCTCCCTCCTGGTGCAAGGTGGTTCGTACGCTGAGTTCGCGAAGGTTGGCCATGGGGTGCATGAATTGTGATATCGCGAACGACACGTTGACGAGACCATCTAGGGCAATCCGAAGGGACTCCACTTGAGTAGCGTGATGAGAGAGAAGACTTATCGAGTTGACTAGCTGCGTGGGAAGGGTATGCCCTAACCCCACAATATCAACGAGGAGGGGTGCATGACTGGCACGTTGTAGCCAGAATCGAAGTCTTTCCAAAGCGTTGGTACTGTCCGCGTCCAAGTAGATGTGGGACCATACACGGGGAGTCGTTGCAGCCTTGCGCCACGCGGAGCAGACATGGGATACCACGATGGGAGCCCTTGTCCAACCGTCTGCGACACAGTGTTCAAAGATCTTGGCTAAGAGCTCCTGCGGGATGCGGCGTGCGAGGGTGATAACGCCTTTGCATCGGCGAATGACTTCGTGGTGGGTGCGCTGCGTTGCTCTGAGTCTCCCAATTTCTGACATGTAGCTTTGAATCTTGTTGTCCAGAACTGCGATGGTATTCTCTTGTCGCGCTATCTCTGCGTTCGCTGCAACGACCTCATCGTAGGTGGGGTCGCGTCGGAAGAGAGACGGCTCATCTATGAACATACTGCATAAGATTTAGAGATAGTGTTAGCAGGCCACCTCGACAGAGTTTACACGGAGGGCCGGACGTTCCACATACTTGACTGGCTTTAGCAAGATGGTAGTTGTTTATGGAGAGCGAGATGGTTCTGTGTATTAGAACGGAGCACGAAATGGGAAGCTCTGATCAGGCACGGGCGCGTCTGCAACTTGCTCCACTCCTCGCTCGACCTTGTCGAACACTCTCATCTACTTCACTCGATTCCACACACAACCAAAGACAGGTAAGACCCAAAACTCCAGCCCTTCGCTTTCTATATGATGATTCAGAGTGGAAACTTACGTGACCCATGGGATAAACCATGCCACGTTGGGTCATCTTGGGGACTAATGTTCTGGATACTGCTGATTTCTTTTCTACATGAATCTGACACGAACCCCCGTTGACCCACTTGTCCTCTCTTAGTAATACAATACCAGATGGATCCTAGAAGAGCCCGCGACCCTCGTCTTGCCAGAGTCGATCCTCGCTTACAACGCCAGCAAGGACAACCTGGTCCTTCCTACGACATGTCTGCGCCTGCATACCCTAACTACCCTTCATATGGGAACAACAATGCAGGACCGTCATATACACCCCCTCAGGCTCCTCCCATGCAACAGCAGTACTCGTCGGGACCCGTGTCAAACCAGCAGCTGATAGAAGAAGCGGATGGCTCCGGTTCGCTCCCTGTGCCATCTGCAACGTCGCAACCTCAGGCCCAACACTCCGCGTCTGAAACGAGGACGAAACAGATCTACAAGCCACGGCCGTTGTTCTGTGTAGTATGTGCTAGTAATCAGGTCCGTCAATGCGCGCCCCTGACTTTCACAGGCTGATAGGCGATGTTTAGAATCGCTCAATGGAGGGACATTATGTGCTCTCGTACGTTTACTTAGCTCCACTAAGTTTAAACCCGTTAAAGACTTCCTCGCAGTAAAGCTGGTTATCGTGTAATCTCTTACGGGACTGGTTCCGCAGTTCGGCTACCAGGTCCAGCAATCGACAGGCCAAATATATACGCCTTTGGAACGCCCTACAATGATATATATGAAGAGCTCCAGGCCCAAGATCAGCGATTGTAAGTGAAAGGCGTTCTGCGACTGACTTGATCCTTGTTGAGCATGTATCAATGACAGATACACTGCGAACGGGCTCTTGCCGATGTTGGACCGCAATCGCCGGCTTAAGCTTGCGCCTGAGCGATGGCAAGAAAGCAAGACCGTCGCCGACATCGTCATAACTTGCGAGGAGCGATGCTTTGACGCTGTTTGCGACGGTATGTCCCAGTATTACCAGCGTTACGCGAGACGGTGTATTCGATGTCTCACATTTTCTTTCCGTGACATCGTAGATCTCTTGGCTCGCGGTGGCGACTTTAATAAGCCAGTGCACATCATCAACATGGAGATCAAGGACAACCACGAAGAAGCGCACATCGCGGGAAAGGCAATTGTTGACATTGCGGCAGCGGTGAGAATGCTCCTGTCACCGCGCGAGAACAAGGGGATCCTCATCTGCATGTGCTGATAGATTGAAAGCGCAAACGACATTGACGAAGAAATCGATGGGATACTAGCTGCACATCAGGAAACACATCCTCA